AAAAGATGTCCTGTGACAAACAGTGCTTGTACTATATCATTTATATCTATTACTAATATATATACTAGCAGAATAAAGAGTGTTATCACAAATGTTATTATAAATCCGACTAAAAGCCGTTTTCCGATCAATATATCCAAATTTTTATCTTTAATTTTCTTCAAGTATCTAAAGAAAAGATTCCATTTCTCTCTTGTTGAGATCGTTTGGTATAAGCAGACAAAATTATACAAAGGATTGGTTAAAGTGTTCGCCCAAAATATAAACGTGTACACATTTCGAGGATGTCCAATTAAATTCAATAGGAATTTGCAAGTGAAAGAAGCAAATACAATGTAACAACATATATACAGGAGGTAAGACCTTTCCCATTTTGTAGGGATGATTCCTAAAGCACATCCAACTTTTGAATATATTTTTAAAATAGAATTGCTGACTGAAGTTGTTTTTCCACTAACCTCTCCTATCAGAGGCATGGCAATCATTAAAATCGTTCCCATCAACTATAACAAAAAGCTGGAGTTAAATTAATTAAAGTAGAAGAAATTTAATTATTCAATATACGCACAATCGTACTATAACATTGCAATTATTATAAGTGGTATTGTAAATAATTATTAATTAAACAATCTTTTGTAATATCGTCAAAGACATTTGGGACAAAACATTTTTTTTTATTTAGAAAATAACCGCATTAACCACGAAGGTCATTAGCGGAGTAAAGAAAATGTTTTACGTTTTGAAAAATTGGTATATCACTTTTAAAAATATCTTTGAGTTTTTTATAGGCTTCCCATGCTAGGTTTATTCTTCTTCGTAGTTCGCATGTTTGGTTGTCTCTTCGCGTCCAAGGTATATGTATTTTCTCACCAGCTCTACTTCATTGTCTGCAATATTTTTATTACAACTAGATTAGATTAGATTAGATTTCGAGAAATAACCTTTTTTCCTATTCCACTGTGACCTTTTCAGATCTATTAATTGTGGTCCTGTAGTCCTAGATAACATTCTCTAGTCTGACTCTTCTTATAAAAACTAGTAGCTTCGAGACTGTACCTTCAATGTAGCTATTTGCTGGTGGATTTTCTTCTCCTAATGTTAAGAACCGCACATTTGCCAGACTGTCACACTCACATAAAATGTGCTCTGCTGTTTCTTCTTAGAGGTGGCAGAATTTGATAACACAGGTCAGATAACACAGGTCATCATCTGATAATCCCATCAGCTTCAAGTGCCTACCCAGCTTACAGTGCTCTGTTATCCTGGTGAATTTCTCCACCATTCCAGAGATTTGTGAGCTGCCCACTTCCTTGTAGCCGTTCTTGTTACTGACTTCGCAACGCCGCAGAAGGGTTCCGGTCCAATGAATGGCATTGATGAGCCTTGTTTGGGCATTTTATCTGCTTTTAGGGCACACACGCAATCCCATACTAGCTTAGAATTGACCTCTACAGAATTTAGTGCCTTAAGCACTGCCTGACTCTCTGTGAAGATGGTAACTGAACAGAATGTTCTTTCGTGCCTTTCTATTTCATCTACGCAGTGATGGATTGCCGTATTGCCGTGATGTATCACTTGATTTGTCCCAATTATGCCGGCTCCCACACCCGCCGATGTTTTTGAGCTATCCGTGTACCAGGTAGCAGCAGCTTGTATGGGTACACCTTAATTCCAGTCTTTCCTGCCTGGTGTCTTAATTTTGAACTTATTGTTAAAGCTATATCTCGTAGCTATTGCATCGATAGGTTTCCCATCACAATATCGGCTTTTAGCTCCTCGATTAGCTTTTTATTGTCGGTACCATGCACCTGGCTTGTATGTCGCTAACTATGGATTAATCTGTGCATCACTGATATGGCTTCGACCTGTATAAGGATTTGAAGTGGTAGTAGATTCAGCAGAACTTGTTGCGATGCGGGAGTTGTTTTTATGGCCCTCGTAATATACAGGCATGCAGCCCTATTGCTCCCACTTGCTAAGTCTTTGTCTACCACGTCACCAAGCCATAGGTTATCATGGGTCTAATAATCCTTGTGTATAACCATAGAGTCATATTGGGGTTAAGTCCACAATTCTTAGCGCACATTTTTCTATATCTACCCAGGGACATAGTAGCTTTCTATGCGGTTTTCAGAATGTGTTTTTCATGTAAGCCTATGATCAAAATATACCCCAAAGTATTTTTTGTCTTTGGCAAATGAAATTTCTGTTCTTCTCAGGACCTTTTTTTACCTTGGTTTTAGGCCTTGTAGTGCTGTTTTTTTGGTGAAGTTGACGATTTGTGTTTTCTGAGCATTGACTATCAGTCTCTCTTGTTTACACCAGTCGTCAACTATATTTAGAGCTGCTTGCATTCTCTCAGACATCAGCTGAGTAAATCTGCCTCTGACAACGATTGCTATGTCATCAGCATACCCTAGACAATAAAAGCCTTCTATAGACAGATTTCTGAGGAGATCATCTACCAAGGTTGCCCAATGCAGACGGGACAGAACTAGTCCTTGTTGACAGCCTCCACCTACTTTTTTATGTTTGCTTTACCCAGAGTGGACATTACTGTCCTATTCTCCAGAGATGCCCTTATCCAGCTGCATATTGCCGCAGGTGCCCCTCGTCTACTCATAGCTCCTATCGAGGAGCTGGTGGTAACATTATTAATATATATAATATTACAACTAGGTACTAACTAGGTTTGTCATGAATTTTGTTTTGGAGATGTTTATTTTAAAACCCACTCTGGCACACACTAACTGAAGTTCATGTAGCATTGTACATATCTCCTTGAGGTTGGGCGAGAACAAAACTGTGTCGTCTGCAAATTTCAAATTTGTTAATCTTCTACCGTCAATATTCACTCCTTTCTCTTTTCAGTTAAGTTTTTTACAAGCATATTCTAGTACTGCGGTAAACAGTTTAGGCGATGAGGTATCACCCTGTCGAACTTCTCTACCGATTGGGATATGATCCGTGTTTTTATGTAGTTTCACCTACATAGTTGCGTTCTTGTATGTATTGTAAATTAACCTTGTATATTGGTAGTCAATGCGGCATGCTTGTAGTGCTTCCAGGAATTTGTCAAATTCTACCGTGTCAAAGGCTTTATGGAAATCTACAAAACCCAGACCGAGTGGTCGATTAATATTACCGTTTTAATGCTCTGTAGGTGATCATTTGTTTCAAATTCAGTACGAAATACCGCTTGCTCTATTGGCTGGTAGAAATCAAGTTTTTTCTTACGACGGCTACTATTCTTATAAGAAGTTTGTATAGATGACTAAGAAGACTTGTAGGTCTGTAGTTTTTCAATTCATGGGGAACTTATTTTTTGTACAATAGGATTACCTTAACATTGTGCCATTTGTCGGGTATATTACTGTCCAAAAGGCACATGTTCAAAATGTTTCTTATTTTCTTAACTGATGCAATAAAAATCGGAGGCAAGTGCCTCCGATTTTTATTGCATCAGTAACTACACAATCTTCGCCTGGAGATGTGTTATTCTTAGCTTTTCTTAGGTTTAGTTTTATTTCGTCTATTGATTTCCGGTAGTAGTTCTGATCCTTGGTTGACAATGCCGTTTTTCCTTGTTTATGTTTCTGGTACTTGATCTTCTCTGCTATTTGCTTTGTGTTGGCTTTTGTATAGCAATTTGTAGAAGTTTTCAACTATTTTAAGCATTTCCTCTCTGTTGGTTGTACGATGACCGTTTCTATCTGTAATCTTTATTATTTGCCTTGTCCCCGTTCTTAGTATTTTTCTCAATACTTTTATACTTCTATTTTGAGTAGTTTGTTTTTGGCTGTATTTTCGAGTGTCTTTTTTGACAACTTTATTTACTTCTATATTAAATTTTTGTAGTTCGTTGGCTTTAGCTTCCATATCGCTTCTCATTTATCTTCTCTTCTGCGTTAGCTGACTACTAAGTATGTTGGAAATACAGTGCTGAAAATTTTCTACATCTGATGGTTTTATCCATGATTTTGATTTGTTCTTATTTTTAATCATTTTATACCTCTCCTTCTTTATGCTTATTTCTATTTTCCTTCGACCAATCTATGATCCCTACTGGTAGCAAATCTGTTCGTGATGTCAACGGTGTGTTTTTTGTCCATGATAATAAAATCTATTTCGTTTCGAGCTTTTTCATTAGGACTTTGCATGTCCATCTTCTCTGTGGTTACTTTAAAAAAAAACTGTTCATTAGGAATAGTTTATGCTGAAACATGAACCTTAACAGTATTTCAGAACAAAATCACCACATATAAAAGTGAAATGTCCTAGATGGTCTTTCCGCGAAGAGCAGCTTCTATATTATCATAGAATAGATCCACTTCTTCTTCATCATGGTCTTTTGTTTGTCGGTGCATAAATCTGAATTATTGTCATATTATACCTTGTATTCAATTTGAGAGTAACAATCACTCTTTAGTAATAGTATACTTGTTTGGAGATATTTGCGTATAATAAAGCCAGTTCCTCCTAAGGAATTATTGTCGTCACCTACGTGGTAAAAACTATGTCCTTATTTTAGTTTAATTTAGTGTTTGCCCCCCCCTCCTCCAGAATCCATGGGACACACTGATAATTTATTAGTGCAAGATTCTGGAAATAATTTTCTACTTGCCTGGGGTATTTTTCGTGCTGGTGAGTATTTGTTACCGCCCATTCTGGGTCCGACACTGTTTGCGGCCGCAAACTCTGGATCAGACGTGGCGGGTTCTGATCTTATACTATCGCTAAAATCAAGGGTCGCCAACTCCGCAATCTTCGCCATATGCCATTCTGGACTTCATCCGTGACCCTGGACAAGGGAACCTTAGCAGATGCTAGTTTCCCGGGTCAAGAAGCTCCTGGAATCTGCGGAGGGCAGGGATTGATTCACTTCCCTGATAGGACTATCCAATAGATACAAAAGATTCCAAAGAAGTTCCTACTTACTACCCACTAAACTCACTATACATTTAGGTACTGACGTACAAATCAAAGTCAAAATTTGTTCAAAAAAAAGTTTATTGGTGAAAACGTATTAACTGAAACCCAATTCAACAAATAATGTCGGAAATAATTTTTATTGCGACTGCGATCAGCGAGCCGAGTATTCTCGACTCAGACTTTCTTGAAAATGAGTTTTGCTGTGCTTTTAGATGATTTATAGACCTAGAAATAAAAAAATATATCAATATACTAAAAAGTATTTTAGCAGAAATATTCACACCACTATTAGTATATTTAATAGGGGTACCCACATAACAATTATGTTCGAAGCATATAGGTACTACCAACAATCGTTGGAGTATATTTTTTTTAGTAGGGGAAAGTAGCCGAAATTTTACCGTCGCCAATATTGTACCACCGCCGTATTTATCCTTTATGAAGAAGCCAGATCGCTCTTATGTCGTTAAGTTGAACTACTTACTACCTAGATTTGATTGCTGTAGTTTTTCAACGTTCACATTTGTCGATTTTCTTTTATCGATTTTTTTTTATTTCATGGTGTTTCAGTATAGTTTTCTAGTTCCAGACGTAAGGTTACAGCATCTGTAAAGATATGTGCAAACCATTCTGATTTATAAATACAAGAAAAACATTTATTTAGGTGTATAACACTGAGTTGTTTCCCTTTGAAGAACCATTTTTGGGTTAGGAATCGTAGTTTATTTACATAAAGTGCAAGTTTCCCATATTGGACCACACGAAGTTGCCTACATATATTGTACCGGTGCAATTTTAGATACCATTGCTTACTTAAAACCTACTTATTTTCAAAAATAAGTAAATAACACATACCGTTTTTACTTTAAAATAACAATTACACATAAATTACCGTTGTGTGCTTTTGATGACAGAAGGAAAATATGGGACAAGGTAATGTGGGCAACATGAGCCGGACTCTTAATATAAGCCGAGATGTGGGATTAGATGAATGCTGCAGGCAGTATGGAGTCTACATTGCTCCATCACCTTAAGAGGACCAATGTCAAGGCAAATGAAAAAACGAAGGCCTCTGGCCGAGGCAGTGTGTTCCCAACAGCAGTGGAGAAGGAGCTAGTTGATCACCTTTTAAAACTGGAGACGTTTATGTTTGGCCTATCGATCAATGATGTTCGACGGCTTGCATTTCAAATCGCCGAGAGAAATCAAATACCACATAATTTTAATAAGGAATTCCAAATGGCGGGAAAGAAGTGGTTTTATGCTGTCAAAGCTCGTCATAAGAACATAATCTCACTGAGAGAACCTCAAGCAACGTCCATGATGCGCACAAAAGGATTCAATAAAAGAAATGTTTGTCTTTTTCGGCATTCTGGAAAAAATTGTTGATGAGAATAATATTGATTCAACTCGAATATTTAACGTTGACGAAATTGGTGTCAGCATTGTTCAGAACAAATGCTAAACCGTTTTTGTACAAAAAGATAAAAGGTAAGTTGGTTCTGTGTCCAGTGAAGAACGTGGAGTCATCGCGATAGCTGTTTGCTGTGCCAGTACTTCAGGAATTTACGTTCCACCTATGCTTATATTTAAGCATATGTGAGTGAACAATAATTCGGTGGTTAGTGCTCCACCAGGGAGTATGATTGAGATATCAGAATCAGGCTGCATGACTAGTGATCTCTTTGTAAATTAGCTTTAGTATTTTATTGATTCTGTAAATCTAACAGTAGAAAAAAGTTCTTTTGGTACTGGATGGGCATATAACGCAATCCAAGAATCTTGAAGCAATTTTAAGTACTAGAGAGTCCGGTGTAATAATGTCACAATTGCCTGGGCATACGACCCATCGCGTGCAGCCTTTGGATAGATCATTATTTAAGTCTTTTAAAGGCTACTACACTCAATCAGTTAATTAGGTGGCTTCATTCTAACCCCGGATTATGTGTTACATAACTTTTCGTAGCTGGCTTGATTTCTGAAGCTTATAGTAGAGCAGCAAGATTGAAATTGCAATCAATGGTTGCCGAACATCGGTCTTTAAAAATCATGACTTTTGTGCGGATGAAAATTTAAATAGCCATGAAGGCCATGAAGCTACCCAGTTCCAAAGTGAGTTTAGTACGACTATAATGTCATCCAAAATCCAAGAAGAGAACAGCACAAAAGGTAATGGATTTGTCGGGAAGTCTCTATAAAAATAAATTAGAATTAGCTAAACAGCTACAGTTAGCACAGGAACAGATAAAACAAATGAAAATGAAATTGGAGAAGGTTAAACCGAAATCGTTCAAGAAACTTGTAAGTGGTCCAAAAATAACACTAAAAGATAAAACTAGTCTTAAAAGAAATAAAGAAGCTGTGAAGAAGAAAAATTTCTCCACAGCTTCTTCACAGCATAAACAAAGTAAAAAAGAAATGTGAAAATCCTACAGAGTCTGTTTAAGTGGTACAATATTGGCAAGTCTCCCTAAATACGTAGGATAAGCATAGCATATACCACAAAAAACATTGAAAAATTCATATTGTTTGTATATACTTTCACATCGGAAGAAGCAAATTTTAAGGTAAATTTATTGATTTCATAAGAATCGTAAAAGATGACAAAAATCGCGCAAGTATTTATTTAACAGCTTTATAGAAACTGACTCCATTTGCGACAAAATTCAATTGGATACGAAAGCGGCACCCTTTTTAGCTTTACTATCTTTACCATCGAGTTGATACAAACTTTATTTAAAAAATTGATTTCGCACGCTTAACTAACATTTATAATCGCTGGTGACTTTGTAACGATGAGTCCAAGCCATCACCGTTAAACCAGCGTGCGCGCGAACCAACCCATGAAGTAGAAGTATACCGATAGTAGAAAGGGCAAAACTAATTACCAAGCTCCGCTATATAAACCGCAACAATTCCTCATAGAAGGGGAATCGACAGGTGTTTACTGAAGGTTCTCTTCTTCCCTACCCCGGCTTGTGGACGTGTTGAGTTCACAAGTTGTTCTGTCCCATACCGCCGTTACCCGAAGAGCGTGTTGATCTCTTTACTACCCATACTCTGAAGCAGTCGTGTTGAGACTGTCGAGGAGTGTCCTATTAACCCGAATCACTTAAGGGACGTGTTGAGTTCCTTTCCTTTCTTTGTACCTATCGTCCGCTGTTATTAAATCGAGACAACGTTCCCGTAAAATTTCAAATACACATTCGCTTGCCGATAAAACTAATTTCATATGACAAGGTCAAACTTAATTTGAATAAATAGGCCAGGTACTGAGAAGACTAAACCAAATTGTTAATATGTACATAAGATTTTTTGTCAATTTAATTTAAGGAAGACAATAAAGTTTTATTTTTGTTTTGAACTCTGTCTCTGACTGTCTAAAAGCTACCCGGATAGTGACTCCTACGAGAGGACATCACAACTTCAAGCATAGTTTCTGAGAGAACGGTTCAGTCAACACAAAAAATGTTAACAGATTTTTTTTTTCAAAATTATATCAGTTAAATTTCTTATTGAAAACATTTTTTGTTTCTACCGGCATACGGATTCTTAGAAAATATTTTCCTGCAAGAGGGGTTTTAGAGGAAAGCCCAGGAGTAGGAGTGGCAAACTTTTTGCATATTTTTTGGGAAAATTGACATCCCCAGCAAAATCCAGCTTGTTCATCTCGTTTTAGAGAGCAAATATCTGCTGACTGGACTAACTTTCCTAACTCTTAGGAGGCCTAAATGTCTGAAGGGCTCACAAATGGGCTCCGCCCTGATCTAACATCACCATAACTTTTCTAACTACAAACTACACATTTACTTACAATTTCCAAACCAGTGCTCGTGAAGTTGAAAGTCCTAGTATGGTCTCCATTGGAAATTACAAGAACATCTCCATTAAGTTTTGCGTTAAACTGCAATAAACATTGTTTAGTAGTATTTTTCATGTTAATACAATATTTGTTTATTTTAAACTGCAATTAGTTATGTTATATATATATATTTTCTAGGCCATTACTTGTGAGGTAAATTGAACATAACTTAATATCCGGTTATAATATATTAAACCTTATAGTGAATAAGGCAATAAAACAAATAAGAATGAAAATGGGATATTAAATAGGAGATAAGAAAGTAAAAATAATACCTAGCACAAGTTTGAGCTATTCAAAATTTTAATAAAGAGTGTTTTTTTAGAGGTATAGAAATGTAAGTTGTTAACATTTTTTTAACTGTTGGCAATTTTGACAGCTGGCAAATGATTTATGGTAAGTTGGGTCTGAAATTTCAGCATAAATAGACTTGACGCCTCAACAACGCTTTCAAATTGTATCAATTTAAAATTAATTTAAATTATAATGCCAAAAGATTATCTTTCGAATAAAGTCAATTTCATGTCAATAAATCAATATAAGGTTGAATGTTCGAATAAATGAACTTTGATGGTACACAAGGCAAATATCGAACACAGTAGTTAATCAAATCTTGCCCAAGTACTTTCGATCACAAGATCATTCTCAGGGGCATTTCGTCAGTTGTGGCCTAACAGCAGTAATAGAATGTTATAAATGTAAACTTCGACATAACAAATACACTAAACAAAGACAAACAAACACTTTAAAATTTAAGAAATGGAGAAGTTACATTTTATATAGAAGCCGGAGACAGAATGATGTGTAGTCACATTTTTCAAAGTTCATTTATTCGAGCATTCAACATTATATCAATATAATTATGTTATGATAGTTTGATTTAAGTCAATAATTATATGGCAAAAAATATGAAGACTGTATTTTAGATTTTTTATGAGGATAAACAAAAGAAATTTGTTATTAATCAAAGAAATTAAATGTCTAATGTAATATGCTCTAAGTTTACTAAATTATGTTCTTAAATCTACTCGAAAAAGTATCGTATTCATAGATAGTATTCGTATATTACCTTAACTTTGCGGCCAAAAAATTCTTCTTCAAATTCCTCTCCAATATTAAATGAGATATCTGAAGATTTGTTATTAACAGTTTTAGTAATTGTAAATTTATTACCGTCTTGTTTGATTTCAATAGAGAACTGACCACCGCTTTTAACTTGATCTTCTGGTATTCCTAAAAATATTGAAATAGATTAAAAATTCATAAATTACTATGAAGTCAAGTTAAAGGGGCGACTTTATTTACGAAAATATTTTCGACAAAACCCAATAAAGTGCTTGAATAGTAATAATTGCATAAATGGAAGGTCACAATGACCTAAACAGAAATAGAACTTTTATTTTGGACTCTGTTTATAATAAGCAAATTGCTTTTTTGTTTTGCTGTATTGTCACTTCGTCTAAATGCACATGAGATAAATAAACGTCCTCTTAACAAATTTCCCGTCCAAATGAGGAAAGAATGATTTTTACCATGATTTCACATCCATGTTGACAATCGTAGAGGTACGAGGTATGGGAGTCATACCCGGAAGGGGTGTTTGTACCTTTTTCCCCAGTTGAGTATGTGGCATATAACAAAAATTGGAAAATTCATGTTACAGTGCAGTACTACTAAAATAGAAGTACTGCAGATAGTAATATGTCTCATTTTTAGAGATAATGAACAGCTAAACCTTCTTCTTCTTCTTTGGGTGCCGTCTTCTTAGCGAAGGTTGGCGATGACCTCTGCAAAGTATTCCGTATTTTGGGCTTTCCTTATTAAACTTTGAAAGTCTAATCCTGTCCAATCTTTGATGTTTCGCAGCCAGGTCATTTGTCGTCTACCCGGGCCGCGTTTGCCTTCTATTTGCCCTTCTATAATAAGCTGAAGGAAGTTATACCTGTCGTTTTTAAATATGTGTCCAAGATAAGACGTTTTACGCTTCTTGACAATGTCTGTGAGTTCACGTTCTCTACTCATACGCTTTAAAACTTCTTCATTTCTAACGCAGTCGGTAGTGAGTAACTGTCGCATCTTTAAGAAGGTGTTTCTTGCCTGTTCTATTCTACATTTAACCTCTTGTTCTTGGTCTAAGGTTTCATGTATCCAACAGCCTAGATACTTAAACTTTTTCACTTGTTCCACTAGAGTGTCGTTGACTAGTATGTTTATTACATATGGTGCGTGGTTTTTTTTAAATTACTTCAGTTCTTCTTCACTGCCATCAATCAATACTGTATCATCGGCATACCTAATATTGTTCACGATTTTTCCATTGACTTTTATTCCTTCTTGTGCTTCATCTAGAACATGTGCAAAGATATCCTCTGAGTACAAGTTGAATAATAATGGTCATAGTATACAATCTTGTCTAACTCCTCTTTGGATGTTTATCGTTTTAGTATCACCCATTTCAATTTTGACAGAAGCGTTTTGGCTCCAGTAGAGTTCACGTATTGTATTAATGACGTTTGGATCCAGGTTCTTTTTTTGCAAGCATTCTATTAGTTGATCGTGTTTCACTTTGACCAAAGCCGTTTCATAATCTATATAGCACAAGTGCACATCTTTTTGTTGATCCCGGCACTTTTGCATGAGAACAAAGAAACTGAACAAAGCTTCTCGAGTTCTCATAAAGTTTCGGAAGCCAAATTGTTCTGGACCCATATCTTCTTCGCATGTTTTGTAAATTCTGTTATGGATAATTTTTAGAAATAGCTTCAGAATATGGGGCATAAGACTTGTTAATCTAAAGTCGTTACATTTTTTTGCGTAGTTTGATTTAGGTATAGGCACAAACGTAGACGTTAACCAATCTTGTGTAATTGTACCAGTCTTGTATATACTGTTGAAGAGTCTTGATAATAGTTCTAAATTGTCTTCTTCCAAAAGTTGTAGAATTTCACTATGAACGTAGTCAAGTCCAGAGGTTTTTCTGATTTTCATATTTTTTAAGGCGTATTTTATTTCTGATGTTAAGATGGGCAAGTCTTTATTTTCGATGCTTGTTTATCTATCAATATTTATTGTTCTATCGTCTGAGAATAGGTTTTGTATGTATGTTCGCTATTCAACGCTTATTTCTTCTATTGTGGTCAGGACTCTATTATCCGTACTTGTTATTATTCCACACTGCCTAGAGTTTCTGATCCCACACATTTCTTTAATTTTCTTATCGAGAAGTCTATCATCATGTTTATTCTGCAGGTCTTCTATCTCTTCGCAAGTTTCTACAAGCCACTGTGTTTTTGCTTCCACTATCTTTTTTCTTATTAGTCTTTGTATTTCTTTATATTTATTCCATTGTTCTTATGTTGTCGCCTCACATTCATCATTTCTAATATTTCATTAATTATTCACGGTTTCTTGCCTCTTTGGTTCGTGTATTTAAGGCAGTCTTCAGCTTTTAGAAATACAGTCTTAAGTTCTTTCAATATTTGGTTTAAGTCGTCGGATTCTTCTTGTACATAATTTTCCTTTTGTCTGTTTTTAAGTTCTAGACATTCGTGGTTAAGTCCTTGTGATATCTTCTGTCTCGCTTCTATATCCTTGAGTAAGCTCATGTCTGATTTATGTTCTCTCTTCTTTCTTTTTATGCTTTTCAACGTAATTTTGAATTTGGCGACGGGCAAGGTGTGGTCGGAAGGGATATCTGCACCGGGGTAAGTTTTTGCGCTAAACCTAGATGAATTAAATTTTATTTAAATTGTGTTTCAAAACTATTTTACGATTGTTAAATTTTATTTCATTTAAGAATTTAGAGTCAATGCTGGCTGGAGAAAAGTAAGCCAAGCCCTATGCAAGTTTAATTTGATTTAAAATTAGTACAAATGTTTGAAAATACGATTGCAAAATGTTTCTTATCTGGTAAATCAAACCAATATACCTGATTTGATTTGTTACCTACCAACTTTTATTACCTACGTATTTAGTGCCATGTTTTTCTGTACAAGGTATGTTCGTAAATTTTTTTTTCCGTACTAATCTTTGTTTTTTTTTTTGTGTACAATATAAAAGTTTGTATGTTCAGTAATACTTGTACGTTATGTTATAATACCCACAATATTATGATTATTATGCTATAACTAAGCTAATTTTATTAAAAAGCTAAAGTGTTTTTGCTAAATTTTGATATAAATTCACCTTTCAACTTTACCCATTTATAAAGGTATTCTATCTAGATTTAGGAATATTTGTTTAATACCTGATTGTCTAAATTTACTTTTTTGTTTGTTTTTGCTATTTTCCTTGTTAATTTGTAGCAATTATTTGTTTAATACAGGACAGGAATGCAGGGCGACAAAATAAGATAAGTGTGTTTGTTTCTCTTTCTTTTTGATTATGTATACATTTTGGCTTCTTAGAGAGGTTTAGCCTGTCTATCATTTTTTTTAAATCTTTTATAAACCAATCTTCCTATAAGTCCAGTGTCGAGTGTTCCTCGTTCCTCGTCCCCGGACTAGGTGCCGCCCTTTATATTTCCCTTTTCTGTTAGTACCAAATTTTGTCATTTTCTTTGGTACATTTTAATTCCTAATTTTGTTTCTAAATAATTATACTCCATCACAGATCTATAGATCTACAAAGCTCACCGTTGTGTCCCTCCAAACACCTGATCGCCGGATTGCAAGGTGGAGATACTTGCACCCGGATTTCCTATTTCTCTTTTAATCCCCTACTTCCCATTCAGATAAGTATTATTACAACCTGTCAGATTGTTTTTCGTGATTTCAATATGAGATGACACTCACAGGAAAGCAACGTGTCTGTGATTTAGATTGTGCAATTCTTGTCTAATGAGTTGGACCATAGGCTAGAAAAATAGTAAACTTAGCAAACTTTTTGTATCGTGACATATGGCTTTATATATTTCAAAGAGTTCTCCTGTTAAGACAATATTAATCTCTGCTAGTTTATATTTATTTATTTCATCCTTTGTTATAAAGGTGGATCCTACACAATGTTTTGTCTTAGGTCCATGAGTGAATAACTGTCTAAATGAGAAAAATTGAGAAATTAAGGTTTGATATTTTTAATTAATTAGACGGCGATGCTTTTTTATTTTCTAACAGATCCAAATTTGTGTGAGGAGAAGATATTAGCCAAGGAGAGGGAATTAGCATCTTGCTAGGATAGATTTCGAGGACTTCAAGGTTTAATTAATTTATGATGAGGGAATGTGGGTTTTTGCGTGCTGAAGATTCGAGGAGCTAATGGTTTGCTAACATTGTTAAGAGTACTGCTTCGTTGCGTTGCACATGAGAGTATTAATTCCTGCCTTCTTAGAGTTCGGCCTGAAGACTTCGAGTTCTTCTAAATGCACCGCATATTATTCTAAGAACGTTATTTTGAATGGTGTCTAAAACTTTTAGAATTGTTGTTGAAACAGACGAGTAAGCATGACATCCATAATCGATCTCATAACGAACGAAATTTTAGAGTTAACAAAATCGTTCAAATAAATTTAATATTGAGAAATAATACAGTTTATTATTAAAAATAACAACAAATATACTCACCAGCTTCTTTGAGATGTTGAATTAAATTTTCTTCCCCAATTACACTATATTTTCCAGGGACAACCATTTTGAATGTGTGCTAATTCGGATGAGTCTTGATTTTAAAAATTTAAGAATTAACTGACATTCTAACTGGCAAATGCTCGATATAAATATAAAATTATCTTGGATCCAGGCGTATTATCGAAAGTGTAAAGTGTAATATTTAGATAAGTGCAGGCAATTGAGTGTTAAATAAGCAAATAAAAAAATTTATTCGAATTGATAAGTCGTATCTTTTAATTGTTAATGTGTGTCATTTCATAATTATATTGTACAGATCTGTAAAGATTAGTATGTTATTGAAAATGTATATAGAAATGAAAAATTTACCATATAACTATGAGCTTTTTCGGTGAACTGACCGGGTTTCGGATTAAATAACTAAGCAACGCTTCAACTGACCAACTAAAAAGCCATAATTTACAGATTGTTCATATACTTTTTAGAGGTTCAGTGGTATTTTCGTCTCTCACGACTGAAGTAAAAATAAATTTATTTATTTATAATACAACTAAAGCATCTCCAGTATTTGGTAATGCTTTTTTAGATGGCTCCATTCCAAAAATGAAGAAAATTGCTTCCTTGGAAGCCAAGACACTACATTTTTGTACGTATACCGATAATTTGATATTTAAAATTCAATTTCAATATAATATATGTTATAATACAAAAATTAATAGAATTTGGGTACGGCAACATCGAAGAAATATACGAGCATATAAGATACGAGAAAAAATAGAGCAATCGATAAAAGGCAAAATCGAGGAGGATCAGACAGGCTTCGCGGCAGGAAGATCAGGCATAGGCCACATATACACACTGGAACAACTGTTGGAAAAGAAAAAAGCAAAAAATAGAGATATACATTCGACATTTGTGGGCCTGAGAAAGGCTTATGACTCTGCACCAAGGTCAGAAATATGGGAGGCAATGTACAAATTAGAAATACAGACGGAACTCATAGAAGCTACAAAAGCTCTGTATAAAGAAAATAAAGTGTCCATTAAAGTGAGAACAAGAATCGTAGGAGACTTCACTACAACAAAGGGGCTCCTGCAGGGTTGTTCCACATTTCCAACCCTATTCAAAATATACTTAGAGAAAGCCTTGAGTACATGGAAAAGAAAATGCGAAGACATGGAAGTACCGGTACGGAACGAATACCTAAAATCGGTTCGCTATATTTATGCGGGTTTCGGATTAAAAATTTTATTGTAAGTACCCAGTTTTAATTACCTGGTCTTTGGGGAAATATCAACTGGTCAAATAAAATGAAAAATAATATATAATTTTTTTTTATTAAATAATAATGGAAAATCTTTTATATAATTGACAGTATAATAAAGAAAATTACTTCATTAATGGGGTCTAATGTGGCTAATATAAACCTAATAATAATTTTATATTACACTTCATACAGAAAATATGGTCTATGTATATTTGTTCCATGGAGAGAATTTCTAATAAAAATAAAAAAATTTAACTTGCCAACAAAAATGAAAATCAGTCATTATCATCAAAAATATCATAATCGTCATCATCATTACTGTCATCACCATTAATTGTTATTATGATTGGACTTATTTCGTTTATTTTATTTTCACGAGTCCACCAATCTTCTATTAGTTTCTCGCACTTGAATATACAGTTGCACCACACTTCTGGAGTTACAATTGAAAGTGCCTTTCGCCAAGTTTCCCGAACTGCGTCGTCGCTATAACCGTTAGGCCCAATATGGTTGTCATAATATTGTTTTGCTATTCCCCATATATATTTGATGGGATTAAACTGGCAATGATACGGTGGCAGACGTAAAACTTGATGACCGTAACTTTCAATAATCTGATCCACAACAAAGGTTTTTGGTTTTGCTTGAATATTTGCCAAGCGTAATAATTCTGATTTTAAAATATGTTGTGTAAATGGTATATGTTCCTTTGTCAACCATTCTTTAATTTTATTAACAGTCCAAGAATTCGTTTGACTTTTGTTTAGTACTTCAGAATGGTAAGGTGCATTGTCTAAAATAATTACGCTGGGCTCAGTTAAACCTGGGAGAAGTTTTTCATGTAACCATTTTACAAACATTTCTGTGTTCATATTATTGTGATAGTCACTTGATTTTGATTTAGATGAAAATATTAAATCAGCACCTTCCGATTTCCCTCCTGCATGTAAAATTATGTGTCGCTTCCCTTCTTCATCAGTATGTTTGATAGACTTTACGTTATCATCTTGCCATATTCTCTTGGTTGCACCCCTAGAAAATATCCATGTTTCGTCTAAATATATAAAATTTGCCATTTCTTCTTTTAATTTAGAATATTTTCTTAAAAAGTTAATTCTTTTATGCACAACAGAACTTCTTTCACAAAGGGCTTTTCCGTTATCCTCCTTTTGAAATTTGAAACCCAAATTATGTATCACTTGCCATAGACTAAGGTCACGTGTTCCTTGTTGGCTCGCATTCGATAAATGGTATCACGAATTTCAAATTTTTTTCCATCTGGAATATCTTTTGTTTTCAATGATAGGCGAGTTTTTTGGTGATCTTCTTTCGGCCGTTCATTATTGCGATTTTGTAATACTCCTCTTTTGGTTTCACCAATTCCTAGAGCATCACATACGCGTTGTTGAACAGACATTATCGATTTTAAAGGACCGCCATTTTCTTTTTCATCCGTAAAATACTTATGTACACTAAAAATTAGACTATCTACATCTAACACACGTCTAGGCATTTTTAAATATTTCCACCAAACATACAATGTCAACACTGGCAAAGAATCAATTCAACTGCAATATTGTAACAGATTTATACCTACTCTAATGTTATTTTAATGTATTCTAAAATATGACCATTAATGCAGTTTTTACCTAATTTTCTGGGAAGTCGTTTACTGCAACTGGTTATTAATGAGTCATTAGCATAATTTTGTTAATCTGAAACCCGCATAAATATAGCGAACCGACTATATATACGTTAAGCTTTGCAGACGATGAAGTAGTGATTGCACAAGACCAAGACGGCCTCAGCTACATGATGAAGAAACTACAAGAAGAATATACCAAGGCTGGCCTAGATATTACCCTCGCGAAAACAGAGTACCTATCTAAAAGTGAAGAAGGCATAGAAGATCTACAGATGGATGACAACATATAAAGTTAAAATAATAGTTATGGTTGTGCTGGGTAAATGTGCTGGATCCAAGTTAGTATAAAACTATCCGTGAAACTAGTTGAGTACTTAAATATTTTTAAAATCATCGTTTGTATGTTGAATAACGTTGAAATATACGTAGTTCGTGGTAAATTGCAATTATTCGAATACATTATAAAAAATATTAGTGACTTGGAGTCAGGTCCGTCGCGGCCTAAAAGTTCTAAATCAAGTAAAATATCTGACAAAAAATCAAAAAATTTTAGTGAAGAGGAACCATTACAAATAATACTAGAAAGTGACAGTGAGATAGACGAGTTTAAACATGTTTCTTACAAACCTAGTGACGAGAAAAGTTCTGATGATGACAGGTAAAAATTAAGATTTTTAAATTTTCGAAAATGTATCTCTGTATTATTTTTAGATGATATCACTAATATTGAGGAGGTAGCAGAACCATATATCGCTAATATTGAGGAGGTAACAGAACTACTTATCAATGATCAAGTAACCGTTACTCCTAAAATAACAAATAAAGTTAGAGTCTGAAATAAAACTCAATGTTCCATGAAGTCCACTTCACTTACGCGAGCACAGAACTTTCTTGTGGACATGGGTGAGCATAAAAATGCATTTGATTTCTTCTGCCTACTGTTTGATAACAAATTAGTGCAACATATAGTTAATCAATCGAATATATATGCGGAAAGCGAATTTGCATTAAAAAATTTGGTTTGCTGTTTCATACTGGAACAATAAAATATTGCCAGATTATTGAAGAACTCATAGATTATTTAGTTTGTGTTTTGGACAATATATGAGTAGAGATCGTTTTCTAGCCATCTTAAGGTACTTGTATTTCTATCCCTCAACAGAAATTCCTATAAATGATCGGCTATATAAAATCCGACCCATTGTTGATTATTTTAATGAATAAAATCATCATTATCATTATCATCAAAAATTACCCTGGAAAAAACTCATCTTTGGATAAGTCCATGGTCCTGTGGCGTGGCAGAATTATGTTCCAACAATACATAAAAAATAATGGACACAAATATGAGGCCAAAAAATAATATTTTGGCCGAACATGATGACTTACTTTGAAAAATACACGGGTTAACTGGATGAAGGTAGACCTGGCAATTTCAATACGTCTTTTTATCTCGTGATTTTGGTCACCTGTTTCATTGATGAGGGTTCCCAAGTATTTGTAATCGCTTACTATTTCGAGTTGGGTACCGTTTATTGCGATACTCGTGTCATGTATTGGATTCTTACTGAAGGTCATATATTTGGTTTTTTTGACGATCATCCTTATGCTGTAGTTATTACATATCTCATTCAACTTTCAATTAGTTCTTCCGCTCTTCTTGCCATTATCACAGTATCGTCAGCATATCGAATGTTATTGATAACTTCTCCATTGACTATTATCCCTTCGTTTGCATGTGACAGAGCTTCTTGGCATATTTGTTCGCTGTAGATATTAAACAAGAGCGGTGACATAATACAACCCTGTCGTACTCCTCTACGTATTTCTATTTTGTCCGATGTTTGGTCTTCTATTTTTATATTAGATCGCTGATTCCAGTACAGATTTAATATTATTTATATGTCTCTGGTGTCGATGTTCTTACCCTCCAGGGTTTATTTGAGTTTATTGTGGCGTACTTTGTCAAAGGCCTTTTCAAAGTCTATAAAGCATATATGTAAGCCATGCTTTGTCATGACACATGAGTTTTAACATTGTTTAGGCCTGCGCCTCTTCAAGGAATGGGTGACTCCTTTTTTTAACGGAGTTGTGGGTGGTGTGAGAACTGTCAATTAAATGATGCAGGAGCCAAGAAGTAGTGGACTACTAAGGAGCAGGGGGAAAAGAAGGTGACTTGTGTGTGTGATCGATAAGAACGCACAAGAAGAAGTGGTATCTACCCACTTTATTCTTTATTAG